GAGAAACATCAATGAGAGAGAATCATCGATCAGCCGCCTCCTGCACACCCCTCACTGGGGATGTGCCTGCAACCACAGCACATGCCCTTGACCAGAATCGAACCCGGGACCCTTCAGTCCGCAGGCCGACACTCTATCCACTGAGCCAAACTAGTCCTGGCAAACTTCCTAGATTTTTGTTTGTTGTTGTTTTTAATTTTGACCCTAGGATATGGAGAGAGAAAGAGAGATAAATCAATTGCCTTCTGTATGGGCCTGCACCAGGGATCCAACCCATAACCCAGTTATATGCTCTGATAGAAATCGAACCAGCAACCTTTCAGGGCACAGGATGATGCTCCAACCACTGGAGCCACTCCAGCCAGGCTAGCCTCCAATTTTCTAAGTCGGGACTTCACAGCTACAGTATATGAGCAGACAAGCTTTGTGGACTGAGCACACACCAACACAGATCAGTCCTAAAATCAAAAATTCTTAGAACAAAGTAAAAGCTACCCATTCAGTGACCTATAGAGCAAGGAAATTAAACACAAATGCTAAGCAATTCACTAAAGTATTTAACATTCTTCACCCTCTGGGAGAAAGCATTGGCTTTGGGGGGAAAGTTTTTCTGCTTGAGAGCAAATTCTCAAAAGACCAAAGTCAATTTAACGCAAGCTGGTGGCTGAATTTTTAATAGTCTCTCCTTGGCATAAGTCCAACTAAATTGTTCTGTCTCGCTCTTACTCAACTAATAAAGAAGGTATTACGGTATAGTGATTTGAAGGAAACTGGCGTAGCATCTTTCTCATTTTGGGGGTTATCATTCGAAAGAAAAGAAAAGGACTAAATACCGTTGAAACATGTGGATGCTGTGCTACTAAAGCAGTATTTCCTGACTCCAGTGACTATTATGAGAATGATTGTTTGCAAACACGGAGGACAGGAAAGTTAGGAGTCTCGCACTGGCACAGGCACAGACACAGCATTGCCCTCATTAACGTCAGGGGTCCCCATGTGGGTGGTGAAAAGAGGGCTAATGTGTACTGTAGGATGTTTCAGGGGGTGCTAGATTCAGAGGAACTCTCTTGGAAGTTTATGAATACTTTTTATTGTAAAATATACATAACATACAGTATAGTATACCATTTTAATCATTTTTCTACACACAATTCAGTGGCATTAAGTACATTCACAATGTTTGCAACTGTCACTGCTACCCATTTTTAAAGCCTTTTCTTTATCTCAAATGGAAACTTTGGACCCATTAACCCCTAATTCCCCATTCCCCTGCCCCTGGTAACTTCTATTCCACTCCCTATCTCTATGGATCTGCCCAGTATAATGGAATCACACAATATTTGTCTTTTTCTCTCTGGCTCATTTCACTTGCTAGCCAATATCTTTTAATCACCTCTTTTCTCCTGAAGCCAGCACTAAGGGATTTTTTTCATGAGTTCAGGAAAGTTTTTTAGTTTGTTTTTTCCCCCCCAATTTTATTTTATTTTTATTTTTTAAATCTTTATTGTTCATATTATTACAGATGTTCCTCTCCCCCCTCCCTCCGTTGCTCCCCTCCACCAGGTTCCCACCCCACCCTCTGCCCTTTCCCCACCCATTATTGTCCTCATCCATAGGTGCAGAGTTTATGTTCAGTCTCTGCCCACATCCCCCTCTCCCCTTTTCCCCGAGAACAGTCAGTTCACTCCCCTTCCATACATCTGATTCTATTATATTCACCAGTTAATATTGTTCATCAGATTTTTTTTTAATTTCCTTGGTTTTTAGATTCACTTGTTGATAGTTACGTATTTGTTGTTCATAGTTTTTATCTTTATTTACTTTCTCTTCCAAAAGAACCCCCTTCAGCAATTCATATAATTCTGGTTTGGCGGTGATGAACTCCTTTAGCTTTTTTTAATTGGTGAAGCTCTTTATCTGGCCTTTGATTCTGAGTGATAGCTTTGCTGGGTAGATTATTTTTGGATGTAGGTTCTTACTATTCATCATCACCTTGAATATTTCTTGCCATTCCCATCTGGCCTGCATGGTTTCTGTTGAGAAATCAGCTGACAATCGTATAGGTGCTCCTTTATAGGTAACTACCTGCTTTGCTCTTGCTGCTTTTAATATTCTCTCTTTGTCTTTTGCTCTTGGAATTTTAATTATGATTTGTCTTGGTGTGGTCTTCTTTGGATTCCTTTTGTTTGGAGATCTGTGCGCTTCCTGGACTTGTAAGTCTAATTCTTTCACGAGGTGGGGGAAGTTTTCTGTCACTATTTCTTTCAGTATGTTTTCGATATCTTGCTCTCTCTCATCTTCTGGGACCCCCATAATTCTGATGTTGGTTTGCTTGATGTTGTCCCAGAGGTTTCTTACATTATCTTCAACTTTCTCTTGCCTTCTAGCTTCTGTGGAGGAGTGTCTTCTGGCTCTTTATGTTCCAAATCTTTGACTTGATTCTTGCGATCTCCCATTCTGTTTTTAGGACTCTGTATAACATTTTTTATTTCAGACAATGTATTCTTTATTTCTTGTTGATCCCTTATTATTTCTTGTTGATCTTTTATTATTTCTAGTTGATCCCTTTTCATATCCTCATAGATCTTATCGATCTTTTCTAGGAAATTCTTGAAAAACCTTATAAGTGTAGATTTGAACTCTATATCCAGTCGCTTTTTGTCCTCCATTTCTTTTCTTTGTGATCTATTTCCTAGTCTTGGCATTTTCGCAGCTTCCCTGATGGGGCGGAGTTTCAGGGTGGAGCCTACAGCCTTGGCTTCCGTAAGCCACGCCCTATGCGGCTCCTGAGTCTCAGTATTCCTCAGGGTCCTTCAGTACTCGCTGCAAGCACCTCTGAGAGTGAGGTGCCCTCGAGTTTCACCTGCTCCCAAACAGCCTAGTCTCTCCCCCAATGGGCCGGGAACTGGAGTTCATTTCAGTTGGAAGTGAGATTGGAGGTGGCGTTCAGAGCCGTCTGGAGCTTTTGTCTCCTTCCCACCAGGGCAATCCCGCGGCACAGCCAACTGTCCGTTCTCTGCGCGCAATGTGCGTGCCTCTGGGGGCTCTGCCTTTCGCCGCTTCCCCAGGGTTCCACCTTACAGCCCAGATCCCTATGGATGAGCCTGGGTCCCCGGGGTCTGGCCCAGAACTGGGGTTCAGAGCAATCGGAACTGGGGCTCAGCACAGTCCGGAGCCCTTGTCTCCTTCCCGCTAGGGAACGCCAGTCAGGCACTCGGCCTCCCTCCTCTTCGGCTTCGTCCTCTCCGTGCACGCCATGTGCCTCCATACCTTAGGCTTTTACAGCTCCTCCACTCTTCCTTCTGGTTTTCTCCTTGCTTCTCTTTGTAGAATTTCCAGTCAGTCGACTTTCCTGTAGTTCTGGGTAATGTCCATTTTATATTTTAGTTGTATTTCACCAAAATTGTTGTGTGCAGCTGCGGTTAGGTGTTTACCTGTGCAGCCATCTTGGATCTTCTCCTCAGGAAAGTTTTTGACAATGAGATTATGGCATCATGGGGACTGGTAAAGGAGCAGCCATGTGTCCAGAACTCAGCTTCCTCACAACTTTCCCTACATGGAACGGAGCGCAGCCAAGAACCAGAGCAAAGGCTGGGAGGTGCCCACGCCCTGAAGAGGACACAGTGCACTCAAGGGGGACCACTGGACCCTCACTTCTCTTTTATTCTTACGTTACACAAACTTCTCACAAGCTCCTGGAAACAGCATACTAGAGTGAGAGGAGAGAGAAGCTGCTGCGGCAGGCTCGCCCAATAAGGAGTGATTGCAAGGAAAGGAGAAAGTCAGCTCTCCCTCCCCTCGGACGGCCACCAGTCATCACTGTCTTCACACAGTAGGATCGACATTCCAAAGGATAGTCCCTAACAATCCACCCATTCACTGGTAAACTGAGAGTGGATCCAGGCACTGTGCAAAGCATGTGGCGAGTGGTTAGGAAAGCTTGGCGCTTGCCAACAAAAGGCTACATCATGGTCATTATTCTTTAAGAGAGACTCTCCTGTAATTGAAAATAAAATAAAATAAACAGTCCTCAAAAAAAAGTATGTATTCTATATAATAAAGAGCTAATATACAAATGGTCATCACATCATCATGCCATCACGCAGTCACAATCCATCACGAGGAGGCTGCATGCACAGCTGGCGCATGCGGGTGGCCAGGGCTGCAGGTGCAGGTGGGCAAGGACTTGACACTGTGTGTGCGGTTCAGAGGCTCTGTGCAGCGATGCCAAGGGTCCCAGTGGCTCCATGTGGCAAGGCCTGGGGGTCCTGCGGCTCCACATGGCGCAGAGGCAGGACCCACGGCTCCGGCCTACCTCTTTGGGGCAGTTGATCTCGGGGCTCCTGCACTGTGAGAGTACACAGGCCAGACTGGGCCCCCACCTCACCCCTATCTGAGTGCATGAATTTAGTGCACTGGGCCTCATGTATGAGCGAGAGAGAGAGAGAGAGAGAGAGAGAGAGAGAGAGAGAGAGAGAGAACACTCAGTGTTTCCCTTATGTTGATATATCTTGAAGTTTGGAATTCTAGGCAAGGGTAACTGGACCTGAGCCTCATTTTTACAAAACAGTCATTTGGAGCTGACTGCTGCCATGCGAATACCCACGGAGTTGCCCATTCCCCTGACTGGCTGAGAGGATGTGTGGGAGAGAACAAAAAAAGCCCCGGTTAGAATATTAAGCATCCTCAGGAGAAGAGTAAGCGTCCTGAGAAGAGAGGCTTTAGTCCTCTGGGTTTGGTCTTAAAGGGGGCTGTGAGGAAAAGGCGTAGCAGTGCATGAATGGGGCTCACGTATGAAAGCACACTTAAAAAATGGCCCAGGGCATTAACCTTGCCCCTCTGGCCATGTCTCAGAGCCTCGCAGAAGCTCTGTGTGCCTGGAATAGCCTATGTCAGGCCCTGTTACATGCCTTTTCTCACCAGCGTGCCTTGGGAGGTGTGGTTTTTTCTCTCTGGCCCCTCCCTGAGCCCTCCCGTCCTGCCTTTCTCTCCTGCTACAGCACGCTGTCCAAGTGCTGCCACGCGATGGTGGCCATCACCTACCCCTTCACCTGGCAGCACACCTACATCCCCGTGCTGCCACCCGCCATGGTCGACATCGTGTGCTCGCCAACCCCCTTCCTCATCGGGCTGCTCACCAGCTCACTGCCGCTGCTCAGGGAGCTTCCCCTGGAAGAGGTGAGCTCCCGGGGTGTCCCTGTGCCCTCTGGTGGGGGCAGAGGGCAGAGGGCAGACGGCAGAGGGGGGTGCTGCCTAGGGGATGTCTCTTGTTCCCTTCCCCTGGGAGACAGAGGGAGGTGCTGCCGAAGCCTGTGTGACAAGCAGTGTCAGGGGAGCAGGGGACCCCACGGCTTTACTTATGAGATAGCCATCACCCCCGAGTCTGCAAATAGGTCCTTTATCATATCAGTAAATGGGCAACCACCAAAATGTTTTAATGATCAAGTGCCGTTTTCAGGTGTGCATCCAGGCGGGGAGTCTTACTTGGCAGGTCTGTGGTTATTGAACCCCAGCCCCTTCCTCAAATTGTGTCTGTCCCTGAGCCCTGAGAACACCCAGCCACAGAGAGGGAACAGTGGGGACTAATGCTGCCACTCTCTCCTGAACCCCTGGGGAACACGTGCCCTGAAAGTTAAACTGGGTCCCCAGATGTGGCTCCTTTAATTGTCCAGGTGGTCCTAAAATCGCATTAGTATTAACCAGGTGTGGGTTTGAGCTGCAAGAAGTTTGGATGCCCTATGATCCCTAACATGGCTCAGTTCAGTTCTATAGGGTGTCTAAGAAGGAAGGAAAAAGCCCCTTCAGATCTGGGGTCCTGGGATGTTAGAGCCCATATCCCAGCTCTTTGTGGGAACCCAGTGGCCATCCATGCCCTGCTCTTCCTCCCTCGTGTGCTGAGCCTGAGTGAAGGTCTCGCTCGCAGGGCCCTGCATGCACAGGCCGGCGCCCGTGTCACCCTAGTCCTGGCCCTGGGTCTCAGCCCGCTCTGGGGACAGAGGGGAACGTGCTTTATCCGGAAGCCTGACTAAGCCCAGCAGCTTGATTTACTCTCCAGCTGGATCCACAGCTCTGGGTTTGTCCCTCCTCTCCCATTAAGAGAAATGACAGGGCCAATTGGGTATCTGAGAGAAAGGAGAGAAGACTCTGGGTATGCTGAGACAGTCAAGTAGAAGGGGCACAAGTGAGGCCTCTGGCCTCTTTCCCCACCCCAGTAACCCATTTACTGAAAAGCAGCCTAAGATTTAGAGGCTCTGCCTTAGCCAGTCGGCAGCAGGGCAGGGAGTCCAGCCATGGCACACACATGTTCCAGCCTGTGGTTGCAGTGTTGAAAGTGTGGGATTCAGAAAAGCCCTTGCTCCCCACCTTCCTTCTTCATCACTTGTGGCCACAGTGGCAATGTCAGGAAACCACAAATGGCCCACTCCACCCCACCCCCACTGCCTCTTTGGGTGCCAAGATGGAAACAGGCTAAGAGCCCATCGCTATATCCCAGAAGCCCTGCTGACAATAATAGTCCCTTTTCCTCATCTTGCAGGTTCTTGTAGTCGACCTCGTCAACAACCGGTTCCTCAGACAGGTGAGTGAAAGGGCCAGCTTCAACCTTCTGCTGGCTCTCTTTTTACCTCTCTGGTGTTTGGGGCTCAGCTTTCCGGCTCTGCGAAGGCTCCTGGGTGAGCCTGGGCATTCCCAATCCCCAGCCAGGTCTGGACTGAGGAGAAGCCAGAAGGCGGGGCCAAAGAGGGTGGGTTTAGTAAAGGTGGGTTTTGTGACAATGTCTTCTAACAATTAGACTCTTTGCATAGGTTTGCCTATAGATTCTTATCTTTTTCAATATGCTTTTAAAGAATATTTGAGAACAAAGTTTATGATATAATATTAAGTGGGGTGGAAATTAGGATGCAAAATCATATGCATTTTTTAAAAATATATATTTTATTGATTTTCCACAGAGAGGAAGGGAGAGGGATAGAGAGCTAGAAATGTCGATGAGAGAGAAACATCGACCAGCCTCCCCCTGCACACCCCCACTAAACACATGCCCGCAACCAATGCACATGCCCCTGACCGGAATCAAACCTGGGACCCTTCAGTCCGCAGACTGACGCTCTATCCACTGAGCCAAACCGGTTTCGGCTCATATGTATTTTTTTCATGTTTTTTAAAAAGGAGAAAGAGAGAATCCTATATAATAAAGATATAATATGCAAATTAACCATCATGCCCTCACACAAGATGGCTGCCCCCATGTGGTCACAAGATGGCCGGTAAGTGAGGGCAATTGTGGGCGATCAGGCCAACAGGGGAGGGCAGTTGGGGGGAACCAGGCCTGCTGGGGAGGGCAATTGGGGACAATCGGGCTGGCAGGGGACTGGTTAGGGTGTGATCAGGCTGGCAGGGGACTGGTTAGGGGGTGATCAGGCTGGCAGGTAGAAGCAATTAGGGGCAACCAGGCAGGCGAGCGGTTGGGAACCAGCAGTCTCGGATTGTGAGAGGCATGTCCAACTGCCAACATCCCTTGAGGGGTCCCAGATTGGAGAGGGTGCAGGCTGGGCTGAGGGACATCACCCCGCCAGTGCACAAATTTCATGCACTGGGCCTCTAAAATATATATATATATATATATATATATATATATATATTTGTGTGTGTGTGTGTGTGTATTTATATATGCCTCTAAACAAGTTGGAAAGGAAAATTCACCAAAATATTAATGCTGATTGTGGAAGAATGAAAGGGAGACAGATTATGATGACTTTACATTGTTTTCAAACTTCCATGTATTTTCATAAACTACTTTCATTATTAGAGAAAATAATGCACAATTATTTTCTCACTTATCATTTGCCAGAGAGGTCTAACTCCTACCAGGTCTTAGGGATATTCTATTGCATTGCTTTTAAACTTGGAGCTGCCGATCTGGAAAGTTCTGTCTGTTGTGGTAATGCCATTTTCTATCCTTAGTTCCCCTCACTGTTACTTCCCAAAGGCCCTCAGGGAAGCCCTTCCCCGGGGCTCTCTAACTCTGAGCCCAGTTAATAAAGCCAGCTTGTTAGTTAGTTTGTTTGTTTGTTTTTATTTGAGAACGATAGACATTAATTTGTTGTTCCACTTATTTATGCATTCATTGCTTAATTCTTATATGTGCCCTGACCAGGGATCAAAACCACAACCTTGGAGTATCAGGACAATGGTCTAAACCAGTGGTCGGCAAACTCATTAGTCAACAGAGCCAAATATGACGATTGAAATTTCTTTTGGGAGCCAAATTTTTTAAACTTAAACTTCTTCTAACGCCACTTCTTCAAAATAGACTCGCCAGCCGTGGTATTTTATGGAAGAGCCACACTCAAGGGGCCAAAGAGCCGCATGTGGCTCAAGAGCCGCAGTTTGCCAACCATGGGTCTAACCAACTGAGCTTCCAGCCAGGGCCATAAAATCATCTTTGATCCACTGGTCATCTGCCCTGGCCAAGTGCCCTGATCAGCACCAGCCACCCTACAGGGTAGGGCAGCGGGAAACAATTCTTGTGTAGCCACTAAGTTCCAAGTTTTTTCACAATGTAATTGTATTGAATATTGTTCCCAAGCTTTATGAGATATTATTGACATAAGTCATACAAAAGCGTAAGGTTTACAACATGATGGTTTGATATGTATATATATTGTACAGTGATTACCAGAATAAATTTTGCTTGGCCATCCCCTCACATAACTACGTGTGTGTGTGTGTGTGTGTGTGTGTGTGTGTGTGTAGTGTGTGTGTGTGTGTGTGTGTGTGTGTGTGTGTGTAGTGTGTGTGTAGTGTGTGTGTAGTGATAACATTTAAGATCTACTCTCAGTAACCTTCAAGTATGTAATAGAACATTATTAACTGTAGTCACCAGGCTGTACATTAGAGCCCAGAACATATTCATCTTAGAGCTTGGACCAACATTTCCCCCAACCCCAGCCTCTAGCAGTCACCATTCTACTTTCTATTTCAAATGAGTTTTGGGGTTTTTTAGATTCCAAATATTAGTGAGAACATACAGTATTTGTCTTTCTCTGTCTAATTTACTTCTCTTAGCATATTGCCCTCCGGTTTCATTCATGTTGTTGCAAAAGGTAGGATTTTCTTCTTTTTTATGGCAAATATTCCTCTTTGTGTGTGCACGTATCTGTCTGTGTGTATGTGTGATGTTTTCTTTACCTATTCATCCATTGATGAATGCTTAGGTTGTTTCTAGGTCTTGGCTGTTGTGGATAACGCTGCAGTGAACATGGGGTGCAGATGCCTCTTCAACATAGTGATTTCATTTCCTGATGTTCCATCTCTCCCTCTCTCTTAAATCAATTTTTAAAAATATATTAAAAAGAGATTATGCTTTGTCCATTGAGTATTCTTGGCTCTCTTGTGAACTATCAATTGACCATATATGTGTGGATTTATTTCTGGACTATTGATTCTGTTTCGCTGGTTTATGTGTCTGTTTTTTTATGCCAGTATTATATTGTGTGTTTTTTTTATTTATTTCTATTTTTTAACTTATCTTTATTGTTGAAAGTATTACAGATGACCCCTTCCCCCCCACCCCCATTGAGCCCCTTCACACACACCCCATACTCACCACACTATTGTTTGTGTCCAAGGATTATGCATACATACATGTAAGTTATTTGGTTGATTTCTTCACACCCCACCCCCTTTCCCGCTGAGATTTGACAATCTGTTCCATGCTTCCATGTCTCTGGATCTGTTTTATTCATCAGTTTATTTTGCCCATTAGATTCCACATATAAGTGAAATCATGTGATACCTGTCCTTCTCTGACTGGCTTACCAGTACCATACTGTTTTGATTACTTTGTTAAAGTTGAAATTCAGAAATTGTGATGCCTCTAATCTTGTTATTCTTTCTCAAAATTGCTTAGTCTGTTTGGACTCTCTTGTATTTCCATATAAATTTTAGAATTGTTTTTTCTGTTTCTGTGAAAAATACCATTGGCATTTTGATAGGGATTACATTAACTCTGTAGCTCAGTCTGAGTAGTATAGGCATTTTAACATTCATTCTTACAATCCATGAACACAGGATATCTTTTCATTTACTTGTATCTTCAATTTCCTTCATCAGTGTCTTGAACATTGCACTTAATCTTCACAATGAGGTGGATATTGACAAATGGAGAAACTGAGGCTTACACAGCTTGTAAGAAGTGGAATCATGATCCAAACCTCAGACCTCTGTTGTTCCTTCCACTAGACTGAGCTGCGCAGGCCTGGCAGGCAGTGCACCCATGTGTCCTGCTGGCTGGGCACAGCACCACCTCCAGTAGCAGGGCGATGGCCCACCTGTCCTTTGTGCCTTACAGATGGACGACGAGGATTCCATCCTGCCCCGGAAGCTTCAGGTGGCCCTGGAACACATTCTGGAGCAGAGAAATGACCTGGCCAGTGACCAGGATGAAGGGCCCCCTGACTGCAAGCATGGTTAGTGCTCAGCCCCTCCAGACTGCACCTCCCTCCATCATTAGGGAGCAATGGCCAAGCATTCCACTTGGCACTGGGTTAAGTAAGAAAATAGGCGAGAGAGTGATTCAAGGAGAGAAACTGGGTGCTCAATCTACTCACTGGATCTCATTTTAACAAGTGAACTGGGAAAAGTTCTCTCTCACACACACCCCCAATTTGGCCCTAAAATATCTGTTTAAAGTAGAGAAAGAGTCCAAAAGTACTAGTATGTACCCGGGTTGCAAGTTTAATCCCTGGCCCCTGTCAGGGCACAAGCGGGAGGCAATCAATCACATCGATGTTTTTCTCTCTCTCTCCACTCTACCTAAAAAAAAAAAAATTAATTAATTAATTAATATCTCTGGAAAAAATATGCTCTGGTGAGGATTAACAACAACAAAAAATAAGGAAAATAAAAGGGAGGGAAAGAAATAATTTAATACTTTGAGTAACCTTTTTATGCGTCAGTAGGGTTTTACCTCGAGAGAGCTAGAAGTCGCTTGTATTACCAGTTGGCTTGTCTCAGAGGCTCTGACCCTCACCCGCTGACCCTTCCTCTTGCTCAGGCCCTGAGTCCAGCCCCTTGAACCAGGTGGTGTCTGAAGCCTTTGTCCGCTTCTTCGTGGAGATCGTGGGTCATTACTCCTTGTTCCTGACGGTGGGCGACCGTGAGGAGAGGACCCTGCAGCGAGAGGCCTTCCGCAAAGCCGTCTCCTCCAAGAGCCTGCGCCGCTTCCTGGAGGTTTTCATGGAGACCCAGATGTTCCGGGGCTTCATCCAGGAGCGAGAGCTGCGTCGACAGGATGCCAAAGGTCAGAGGGCATCTTCCCTGCGCCTTCCCTGAGACAGATGGAGGTGCCCCAGCACAAAAGGGAGCAGTTTTCGGCCACCTCTAGAGAATGTTCATTTTTGCACGTCTGAGCTTCTGAAACTACCCTGATGCCCATCTACTCAGATATCTCTTCCCCTTACTCGCCTGTCCAAGAGCACTTTCCAGGTTCTGGTGACAGGTCCTCCGTTTGTTCCATGCTTTCCAACTCGAGGAAACTCTCGTGGACACTCTTTCCTTCCTCTCTGCAGATCCTTTGTCCTTTTCCACAGGCCTCCTTGTCCCTGCTGCCTCTCTTTCCTGCCCCTCTCCACCACAGAGCAGGCAGGAGCCAGCTGGGCTGGGACAGCCTCCTGAGCCTGCCTGGCTGGGAGCTTGTGGGTCATCCATTCTCCTCCCTCTCTCTCTCTTCCTGGAATTCATCTCTCCTACCTTCTCCTTGTCCCTGTCAGCTGGGTCCCATCACACTTCCCGGGATGGGAGAGGGGGAGGTGTGGGAAAGAGGGTAATGTCATTGCTGTCTCTTTCTTATGTCATCTTAAGCCCTTTTGGGAATCTGACAACTGGAAATTTTGGGAAAGGCTGTCACAGATGGGAGTTAGACCTGCATAGGGGCGAGGTGATCACCACCCAGGAGTGGCCGAGCAGCGGCCAGGCAGAGTCCCAGGGGAGCTGCTGGCCCAGGCCTCCGTGTCCTCTGGTGCTATGATGGTACAGACTGAGTTAAGGAACCAAACCATCCCCAGAGCTCCTTGTAAAATAAAGACAGCAGCTGGCCACGTTTCTGGCAAAAAGTTGATCTGATGAAGGGACCTGTTAAATAGAAGGCCTGCTGGGTACACACACTGGTAGATATGTTTACAGACCACTGTTTGATAGAGAGGCCCAGACGTTAAACTTAAAAGCAGTACTGTCCACTAGGACCAGAGAGAAATGAAGACAGTCCTGAGGCTCAGACCCGGGTGAGCACTGATGGCCCTGAGGGGTGGCCTGCCCCGCCTTCCTGAGATCACAGGTGGCACACAGACTCCCAGCAGGCCACACCACGCGGCCAGGCTCCCTCTTCATGGGAGAACGCGAGGAAAAGGAAACTCCAGGAGTTCCTGAGAGCCAGGACCATCTGGTTCATCTTGAAACCTCGGGCCTGGCACAGTGGAGACACTTGGAAGGTGTTTGTTGAGTCAAAATAGGATTTTGTGTGGGAGCCGGCTTTACAGCTTTCCAAAGACAGTTATTGCACAAAGTTGGGCAATTATAGGGGTCATAAAAACTCTTATAAACCTATGATTCAGAGCATGTTTAGAGGAGCAGCTCATCTCAGAAGCAAGTTCCCCTTTGCTGAGGCAGTAAGGAAACGGGTATGGTTAGAAGTGCCCAGAGAGGGGACTATACTGACCGGGATTTCTCTTGTCAACAGGTCTGTTTGAGGTCCGTGCCCAAGAGTACCTGGAGACACTCCCCAGTGGAGAGCACAGCGGTGTCAACAAGTTCCTGAAGGGACTAGGTAAGACCAAGTGGCTCGGTCCCCATCGTTAGCCTCTGGTCCGTGGCTCCTGGCCAGTCCCTCCACTGGAGCCGGTTCCAAAATAACACAGAGCTCTCTGGCCTGTGCTGGGCAGGCAAAGTCAGCATTGCGGCCTCCTGTCCCAGTCCTACTCCAAAGTATAAAGAGAGGACACTGAGGCCCCTCCCCACTCTCCTGGGCTCCTGGGCTGCCTCACTACCTTCATTCCTTGTCATCTCCCTCACTCCCGAGTCTTCTGGGCACTGAGCTTAGGAAGCAGGGTGAGTGGAAGCAGGCAGGGTGTCTGGCAGCACAGAGGTGGCCCAGCCTCTCTGTGCCCTCCAAAGTGGAAATGTAAAAGTGAAAAGGACTACGGCTTACTTAGTAACAAGGTCCTTGTTGGAAAAGGATGAAGAACAAATCAACAGAGAAGGAGGCCCTGGCTGGGTGGCTCACTCAAAAGAGAGGAAGGAGAGCGCAGGCCCCAGGGAGGGGGAGCTGCGCAGTGAGGACCACACGAGCACCTCAGGGTGGACAGACGGCCACTTGGGGCGGGACTTCCCACTCACCGCACTGCTGGGCGTTTTCTCGCTTGGCTCCTCGGGGACCGTTATGTTCAGAGATTCCCATTTACCATTTTAGAAGCAGTGTCTACAGCTCTTCCTTAGTCCGAGAAAGACCCCTTTTCCTTGGGGAGGTGCAGAGACTGCGAGGCAGGGAGGGAGGCCATCACCCAGAGGGGCACGGAGTGGGCTCCCTCCGGGCTGGCCTGGGAGGCAAGGTTATCCACCCTGCAGCTGCGGTGAAGAGGGAAGACTTAACCTCCTTCCTCTCCTGGTGAAATGCTCCCCTTTTTCTTTCTTAGGCAATAAAATGAAGTTTCTCCACAAGAAATAACCCTCCGCCCGGACTCGAAGGAAAGTTCTCCCAGAGCAGCCGCGTGTTTAAAGACAGTCCTGTGGCCTTTCTGAATCGGCCCGGGCATCCCAGCTCTGGGTCAAGGCCAGGGGGGATTCTGGCCGCTCCTGAGACCAGGCCTGTCGCCGACATGCAGATGGATTGTTTTGGTTGCTGGTTTTTGGATTTTTAATTTTTTTTTAAATCTTAGTTATTAAAAAAAAAGAAAAATGTTTGGGTTTTCTTGTTATTATGCCAGGGCTAAGAAAACTATCCTGCCCTGTGTCATCTTTCCCTGGCTCACCCGGCCTGGCATCCCTCCTCGGGGCCGAACTGGGGACAGAGGCGGGTGTTAGGGAGATGCTGTGGTGACCCCAAAGGTTCAGGGCAGAGCCCGTGGGGAAAGGATTGGCCCTTCTGTGGAGGAGTCTGATCTGGGCTCCAAGGATTTGGGCTTCCCTGGAGAAGCTGCAACCAGAGTGGCCGGTGATGCCACCTGGTGGCCGAGGCCATAGCTGTCGGGCCTCCCACTCCTCTGCCAAAGGGGCCTGTCTTCTGGGCCTCCTCTTCTCTTTTCTCTTAGAAGCCTTAGCACCGTCCACTGCCCAAGCCGAGCCGTCCATGACTTTTGAGGTGCACGCAAAAAGAGGAAATCATAAGATCTGTTAATAAAACGTTCGTAGGGTCCCAAAGGGTATGATCGTAAAGTATCATGGAGCACACACCCTCTAACATAGGGGTGTCGAACTCAATCAGAGAAGGGGCCAAAATCTAAAATCCAGCCTAAATCGCGGGCCCGAATGGTTTACTGAACAGTCATAAACTATCATTGTGATGGAAACGCAGTGGAGTGCAGTGATGACAGCGCGGTGCGGGCCACATTGCAAGGCCTGGCGGGACGGATTTGGCCCGCGGGCCTTGTGTTTGACACATGTGCTCTAACACATAAAGCCACAGCTTTGACCCTACTCGCATTTATACTTTATGAAGTATTCCCATCTCGTTGTAGGGACCCAGATCAGCAGAGACAAAACGGTGGGTGGATAAACGGAGGGACCTTTGTAAATGAGAGAGCATCAAAGTTTGGAGGCAGCTTCGTGAGACTTGTGCATCCATCAGGCAGCTTGCCCTCCTGCAGGGCACCCAGCGGGGTGGGCAGCACAGGCACAGTCTCAAAGCAGGCCTTGGCACCACCGCAGCCACCCACCGCCCATCAGCCACTGCACACCTCCAGTGCATTCCTCTGGGTGGCACCAGCAACCACGACAGAACACACGAAAGATGTGCTCTGGTCATGGCAATGGCCGTGGCCTGTGCCACCTGGCAGAGGTCCTTAGCCTTTAGGGCACTGGGAGCAAGGGACCTTCTGAGGAAAGAAAAGAAGAAGAAAAAAAGGAGGAGGTTGACTTCTCATTCCACATTAGGGATTCTTACCTGGAGTCATGGACCGTCTCTCCAAATTATGTCCAAGACGCGGTGTGGCCATTCATTTTTCAGGGGAGAGGATACATCGCATATATCAGATTCATAAAAGGTTCCAAGGACCCCCAAACTGATAGGAGCCAGGCTATGCATAACAATTAACCTGGGTAGGTGTGCACTCTGGGGTTTGAGGGGAAGACTGAAGGAGAATCTCTGAGTGTGGGGGCTCAGGAATTGTACCTAACAAGCTCCTCAGATTAGTTAACTTTATTAATACCAATATTCTGCCCAGAAATGATCATTTTTTAATATTTTGGAATATACTTTCTTTTCTAACTTATTTTATATTATATTGTCTACTTACCACCGCCAAGTGAATAAATAATACCTTTTATCAATATTTCTAATGGTTGTATTATATGTTCTATTTTATAGATACACTAAAAGTCATTTTACCAATGCTCTACTCTTACGCATGCATGCTATTTTCAGTTTTTAATATCATAAAGGGCATTGACAAAAGCATCTTCATACAAGTATCTCAGCACATTTGTATTTTCATTTTAATGTTTGCTTGAAGTAGAATATCCATCTTGAAAATGCCCAGGCTGACAGACCTTCACAAGTGACCATATCTGTGTGACCAACTCCCAGGCCAGGAAGCTGACCATCATGAACCCCAGGAGCCCCTCCTGCCATCCTCCCGATGTCCCTCCCACCTACTCTCTGGATGTTTAAATCAACTAACCAATTGTTACAACTTGCCAAGTGGGAAGGTAGGCTGGGAAGGATCAGAAGCAAGAGAAAAGGGTAGAGTTGTGATTCCTGCCCACAGTCTAGGGCAGATTCTCGATGGGCAATACTGTTTGGGTTGAGCAGAGCATGGGTGCCCTAGATCAGGTCACCATCTGTCCAAGAACCAAGACCTCCAATTCCATCAAAGCATGAATTTTCTTTTCTTTTTTAAAAAAAAAATATATTTTATTAATTTTTTACAGAGAGGAAGAGAGAGGGATAGAAAGTCAGAAACATCAATGGGAGAGAATCATGTGCTGCCTCCTGCACACCCCCCACCGGGGATGTGCCCGCAACCAGGGCACATGCCCTTGACTGGAATCAAACCTGGGACCCTTCGCTCTGCAGGCTGACGCCCTATCCACTGAGCCAAACCAGTTTCAGCAAAGCATGCATTTTCCACGAAGAATGGAAAGTTTTGTGTTTAGAAGCATTCATTACTGTGTTTTAATTCACGGTGAAGCACAAGGTCATGAAAAGTAGTTGGGTTTCACTGCTGTGGAATATTGGAGACAGAGGTGGGCGAGGGAAGTGGTGGTGAGAGCAAGTGCAGCTGGCAGATCTTGGTAGGAGGCCGCAGGTAGTAAGTGTGATGGGGGAGAGGAAGAACGAAATCTCAGAAATAATCACAAAAATCTCTTCCTACTCATAAGAATAATGATATCAGCTGCCATTTATGAACACTTTTTACCCATCACTGTGTTGAGTTCATCACGTGTGTTATTTAACACTGGAAGGTCAGCTTGAGGGACTGTGTTTCCAGAGCCTAAAGCCAGTGCCTGGTGTTTACCAGATGTTTGCTAACCAAAGAAGCAGTTCCCACAGCAGGACTAAGCGTTACTCTCTGTTGGTGCAGGCAGCAGGCTCATTAGAGATGGATGCAGAGCCCACAATGCAAAGGAGTCAGTCAACCTTGCTGAATGGGGGCCGTTCCCAGCATCCCTGGTACTTTGTCTCAGCACCAAGCACCTACCTAAGAGACACATTAACCACCAGAAGGTTGCTGGTGAGTGTGAAGTCAGAGCAAAGGGCTCTGGAGAGTGGAGGGGCATCACGGGAGGGGCGGGGGGCAGGACAGACCCCTCTCCCGGAGGGCCTGTGTCCTGGGTAGTGTTGGATACCCCTCTGACTCCTCCTTGGTCCTTGGCATCCCTGCCACTCCATTCCTTTAATTTTTTTATTTTCTATGAGTGAAATTCACACAATTTGTTTTAATTTCTTGATTAGAGAGAGAAGTATCTACAATATTTGTTGTTCCATTTATTGATGCATTCATTGGTTGATTCCTACTTGTGCCCTGACGGACGATTGAACCTGCACCCATTACTCTAGTTAGTTACCTTACATAGTACCAAAGTAGTTGGTTAGGCCCCAAAAAATCCAGAGGAGAGGTTGCTGTGGGAGTGAACTCAGAGGGCAAGGCTGAGCTGAGGTAAGAGCAGCCTTGAGCGAAAGGGAGGGGCTGAAACAGGCAGACAAGGAAGGGAAGCCTCTAGGCGGAGCCATGGTTGGTAAGAAAAGCAAAAGGCAGGTGAGATGGGCCATTTAACTGCTGGCACCTGTCAAGGCCAATTAACTTCATTCCCTGGCTTGTCCAGAGACCACACCTCGTCCTCACCCAGGTCTTGGTGGGGCTCAGCTGCCAACCTCTAACTTCTCTTTGGCTACAATCCCAGAGGCCTGGCGCCAGCTTCCCGGGCACCGGGCCAGAGAGCTAACAGGTTCACCTTTGATCAGCCCTGGGCTCCTTCCCCGCCCCTCTTATTCTCCTCTGCTGACAGCCGCACCCCTCCCCAGCCCAGCCACGACTGTAAGAGCACACAGTTAAATCCCGCCACCAACCCTCACCGCACGTGTCCTTTCCACAAGGCAGCTGCTCGCCTTACCCACACGGGCGGAATGTGGACGGGGTGGTTTTTCTGGCAGACAGCTCCAGGTTCACGCAGACCCACCCTCCGCTGTCGCACCAGGCCCCTGGACAGGTGTGAAAGGGCCTCTGCAGGGGGGCTCCAGTGTGGCAGGATGGGACAAGCCCCGAGGCGGGCGGCCAGCAGACCAGCTGGCAGGGCCTGGCGCGCAGACAGAGCCCGGAGGCCCGGTGCCCAGCGTTTAGCCTGGTTCTCTGGCAGCAGCTGCTTTTCTCCCCTCCCTGCCTTGGTTTGTATGGTCTCAGGGGAAGTAGGTTCTGGGCTGGAACAGAGAGGGCAAAGCAGCCCTGTGCCCAAGCCGGGTCAGTCGCTAGGGTGGCTCACGGGTGTGTGTGTGTGTGTGTGTGTGTGTGTGTGTGTGTGTGTCAGTGTCCCTCCAAGCAGCATGGGGTCCGCTGGCCCCAAGCCCTTGGTTCTGGCGCCAGTAGAGCCCTGCTCTGTGAGGAGAGGGCTGAGGAGGCAGAGTGAAGCCAAGAGCTGTCCCCGATCTCAAGATGGGAACACTTACCCTGTGGACAGGTCAGGTAAGGGTCATGCTGCACCCTGCCAGACTGTCACCATCCTGCACCTTTTAGCCATGTCAAAACATTGTTTTCTTCCCCACCAAAAAATAAAAAGATGAGCCGAAACCGGTTTGGCTCAGTGGTAGAGCGTCGGTCTATGGACTGAAAGGTCCCAGATTCAATTCTGGTCAAGGGCATGTACGTTTGTTGCGGGCACATCCCCGGTGGGGGGGGTGTGCAAGAGGCAGCTGGTCAATGTTTCTCTCTCATCAGCGTTTCTAGCTCTCCATCTCTCTCCCTTCCTCTCTGTAAAATATCAATAAAATATATTTTAAAATATATAAAATAAAAAAATAAAAAGATGAAAGATAAAACACAGTGCTGATTGCAGAACAATGTGAATGTACTTAGTGCCACTGAACTGAACAGCATCCTTAAAAAATGGTTTAAGTGATACACCTTTTGTTATGTACCAGTTACCACATACACACCCCTCAGCAATAACGTAGCAATGCTTTTATATTCTAGTGCAATGATTTCAACCTTGCATGTGTGTCATTCACACATTTTTTTAAAAGATTTAAG